TCTCTCTCCCTGTCTCTGTCTCTCTGTCTCTGTGTGTGTGTGCGTGCGCACGCATGTACATGAAAGGATGATTTATAAAAGGAAGTTGTTAGGAAATCTTTACAAGAACTTACTGATTTACTCTGGTCTTTGAAGCATCTGAGTGTATACATGGCAGTGTTCCTCCTGCCTTTTCTCACTCCTTGGTAGTATACAGGGCAGGTGATAAGTCTAGATCTTGCTGACACAGAGTTATTAAACACCTTCAGCCATGGAGTACTGCCTGGGAAGCAGCGTGAGACTTGGTGTTTTGGCCCCATTTCAAATCAGGATGAGGTGTTTGGTTTTTTTTTTCAGACACCAAGATGCACATATAAATCACCATCTAAATGCTTCATCTGATATTGGGCAGTCTTTCAGTGAGCTGAATGCTTTTTATAGAAGATGAACTAATTAGTTTTCACACCAGCTTTGTGAGTTTTCAGGCTATTGAATGATGACTGTCATGGTGCCCTGTCTTTTTGCAGTACTGGATGGACCCTGGTAGAACACATTCTCCAACTGTTTCTCTGTAATAATTCATGTGCTCACTGGATACCTGGCTACATCATACTTGTCTTTATTCTGAACTTTGTAATATACAGTTTGGTGAGCTGGGAGGGTCCATATTTATATTCCACTTTTGTGATAAGCCCTGTCATCCTAAGGTTCACAAAGATCCAGCAAGGCAGGGTTTTATCATGCAAAGAAACTTGTCTTCTAGGCACTTGCTTCTGGAGAGAAGACTTATCCAGCCTCCACAAGGTAAACATTTTCTGGTAACACAAACACTATCGGATGCTCCCTCCTCCTTCAGGAAGTCCTGTGTGGTTTTACTAATTAAGTGGTTTATCAGGACCCTTTCCTCCTCTTTCACTCCACACCTTAAGTGTACACCACAGCCTGTCTCTACAAGCAAAGGTCAGGAAAAAGGAGAGTCTGATTTTCTGTTCTGGATTTATATACACAGGAATGCAATTATGCACACACCTTTAAGCCTAAATAAACATGATTTTGTACACTAAGGGGAAGGGTGAAAATAATGATGCCACCATTACGGGAAGCTGCAACTTACACTGAGTGTCTGGGAGTGAGGGCCATCAGGAGACTAGCATCTGGGTGTTAGCAGTGAGGAGTAGTGCTGAAGGGCCCAGGCTCTGCAGTCAGCGGTGCCCAACTTCACATGCTAACTCTGTTTCTCCATTTCTCACCTATCAAATAGGAATAGCACCTCTTGGTGCCGTGAAATGTACATGAAATAACTTGGTTCAAAAAATGACCCTCACCTACTGCCTCCTAATGTAAATCCCAGGCACTGACTAAACTTACAGCCTCTGGAGTCTTTCTTGATTCCAGTTGTTCTTACTAAGTGATGGGTTGAACAGAAGAAATAAACCCAAGAATCAGTAGAGATATTTTATAAGCAAAACAGGATCCCCTTGATTGAAAAGAATTAAAAGCTCTGGCCACGAGGCAGAACAGTAGTCTGGATCCAGACATCTTTGGATGTCTCAGAGAATCTGCAGGGCATAAGTGACCCCAGGATTCAGGGTTAATTCAAAGGATCAGGAGAATGGAGGGATGGAGACCTGGAAAGCATGTTTTTCTTGAATCCAGATGGCTTCTTGAATAACAGGGGGAAGGAGGTGGGATTGTAGTTGGAATTGTGAGCACACAGCTTTGGTGTGCTTTTGTGGATGTTAACGTCGATCAGATTTGCCTAAGGCAAGAAAAGAAATGAAGGAAGAGAGAATAGGGAGAGGAGAGAGAGAGGAAAGAAAGGAAGAGATCAAGGGATGGAGGAAGCAAAGGCTAAGCAGGAGAGCCAGAGGAATGTAGGGATAAAAAAATGTAGAGCTCAGATTAATCGGGCCAGTGGTGTTCAAGGAGAGTTCAAGGGGAGAGCGGCAAGTTCTTCAGCATCTGCACCAGGATAACTTCATCTTTACCCTCCTTCATCTCCTGAGCATTCATTTGTTCCAACTACAAAACTTCCTAGCATCCCGAGTTATCCTTTCCAGAAGTTGTTGACTGATACTGTGATTAGACTGGCTTCTGGCTGTCCATTGGACTTTAGAAAACACAGAAGCCCACGCCTCCATCTGATTTGCATGTCATTGAATCCAGGGGGTTGGGGGAAGGGCCACACAGGCATCTTTTCCCAAGCCTGTCTCATACTTCCCAAACAGCCTGTTCAGAAAGTTCTTTAATTTAGCCTTCTAGAAGAAGATTTGGCCAGAATTTCTTGGACGTGAAGAAAGAAAGCAAATGCTAAAGGCATGGGCCCTTTTGGTGTGAGAACATAATGATTTTAATATTTAGCAGTATTACATATACCCAGCAGATATATTAACTCACAAAAAAATATTAGTTTCTCTTTAAAAAAAAGAAAAAAGAAATTTAATCTAAGGTTATTGGGATTACAAAAATAATAGCACATTTCTTTACGTGATTTGAGCTCAGTAACTGAGATACCAGAGATGGAAAGAGATCTTCCAAGGTTTGCTGCCCATATGAATCTTACAACATAAAAAAAAAGAAATTTATTTTCATATTTACAGAAGAAACATGCTCATTGCTTCTTAGAATTCGCTTCGGAATTCCATAGTGACACTATCTTTGAAGTTGGGAAATATTTCAAATTAAAGAAGGCATTTTGGAAACAGCTCACAATGCACCTCGGGCCACACCACAAAACAGTTCCGGGTCCTCTTCTACAGATCATCCTATCTCAGAGCTTCGGGGACTTCGACCTACAAAAACAGGGAATTGCCTTTCAATGAAGCAATACGTATGTTAAAGCAAATCACCATCCACATCACCACCACCTGTAAGGTTTACCTAGAGCAGTATTCCCTAAGAATAATTTGAATGTAGATTATGGTCACTGTGTGGCGTCCACATTATAAACTTGGTGGTGAATCACTCACAGTTTTGTGATGAAAATTCTGTCAAGTGATTAATCCTTTTAGAATGCAGAGAATACTTACTGGTTTGGTTTTTTTTAATTATGGAAATTTAAATTTTTGTATGTTAAAGTATCATAAAATGACTGTGGCTGATACAATAAGTTGGTACAAGCATACTGGTCCAAATGGAAATGTATTCATTCTCTCGATCAGTGTATCCACCCCTAATGCTCACATGGGGCATGCTTGCTCACATACCCAAATATTTGAAAGATTAATAAAAGTTTGGAGATTGGCGGCTGACTCGTTGAATAAATTTCACCTTAAGGTCTAACCTGAGGTGACTTACCCTCCGTAGCTGTCTTATACTGCTCCCTCGAATGGCTTCCATGAGGTTCTCATGAGCTGATCTCTGTGGGGTAGAGGGTCGGGAGCTGTCTTCCATTTTCTTCTCTTGCACTGACCTCAGAGAATTCTTAATTTCCTTTAGAATATTGTTTGGCTGTTTCTTAACTTTTTTCCCTTTTTTCTTTCGCTGTCCATTTTGTAGGGCCCGCTGAGCACTTTCCTGTTGTTTAATGACTTCTGCAATGTTTCTGGTGATGAGCTTTTTCTCTGGGAGTGGAGGAGCAGGGGGAGGAGGGGGAGGAGGCAGCATGTGGGGAGGAAGAGGAGGAGGGGGAGGCGGAGGGGGTGGAGGAGGGGCCACAGGAGATGGAGGTCTGCTCCTCCCATTGTGGACTTTCTTGGAGACTTTGGGAGATGACCAGGGAGACTGCCTCGGAGATGCATACGGAGAAGAGCCAGGCGTCCCTCTTTGCCAGACTTTGGTCCTAAGAGTAGCTCCTCCATCATTCCCCTCTTGCTGTTTTTGCTCCTGCATGCGTTTTTGCCTCTGTTTATCCATATTCCTTGTTAAAATACTCGTCATACTCATTCTTGGTCCTGGGAGCTCAAAATGGTAGCCCAGCCTCAGCAGCGTGGTGTTCTCCTTGAGCAGCTTGACAATCTCCATCTCCACCTGCGAGCCCATGATGTGCCTCTGGTTGTGGAAGCGCAGCTCCGTGAGCACTGTGTTGTGCTGCAGGGCTCTCATGATGGCCAGGATCCCCTTGCCAGTGATGAAGTTGGACTCCACGTTTACGCTGGTAATGTGCGCGTTAACCTTGAGCATTTCTGCAATGGCGATCGCTGCCGCGTCATCAGCGTGCGTGTTGGCCAGACTGAATGTCTTCACGAAGGTGTTCTCCTTGAGAGCGTCAGCAAATCGGGATAAGGTCTGGGTGGTGATGTTCTCAATATTGTTCAGATTAACTTCTGTTGTATCAGGGTCATTGTTTTTAATCTTTTCCAGAGCATCCTCAATAACAGTGGGATTTCCACAGGGGTGAATGGCAGCTGGCGACTCTGTGTTCCTCTGTGTTCCTCCACTGTTGCCATTGGTTAAATTTATATTTTCGATTTGACTTTTAAATGTCTTTGGCTTAGAGTTATCAGAATTAACACTATTGTAGTTTACAGTTCCATTAATATGTTTTGTGGCTTCCGTTGTCACTTCCTCTTCCTCACTGTCCTCTTCTTCCTCTTCTTCCTCTTCCTCTTGAGACTCCTCCTCCTCCTCTTCTGTACACACTTCTTCGGAGACTTCGCTGTTGCTCTCTGTGAAGATTAGTTCCTCCTCACTCTCTTCCTTGTCTTCTTCTGCAACCTACGAAGTGTAGTGACATCATTAAGCTTTTCACTTGAAGCACCTTTAGTGGTTTACAAAACTAACACATGTACCACAGTGCTAGCAGGATTAGCAAGCCCTTGTTTCTGACACTCTAGTTCAAGTGACCAAGGTCAACATTTTGTTACATAACCACTAACAGCTTTTCTGTAAACATTTGTCTTTTACCAAACAGCCAGCATTTACTGAACAAAATATATGTGATAATTTTTCTAAGTTGAACACACAAGTCAGAGCTCCAGAACTGGGAAATGTTGGGTAAATATCTCAACGTTTTAAGCCTAGCAAGATGTCTCAACAGATAAAGGTACTCACAGCATAAACCCAATGGAGTTCAACCCCTGGGTCCCACATAAAGGTAAAAGGAGAGAATTGACTGCACAAAGCTACCCTTTGACCTCTACATGTGCCATTGTAAATAAAATAGAACAAGAACATTTTAGCATGTTGACTTCTTGACTCATTTTGTTCCAGTTTTGCCAATCTAGGCCTCTCTGGAATGAGTTCAGTGCCCTGTCCAAACAAGTGCAACAAAAATAAACAGTATGGTATTGAGTTCTCTTTCCTTAGTACTCAAAACTTTACCAGGCCTGTTGCTACTACACATCTGCTATCCTGGCTACTTGGAAGGTTGAAGGAAAAAGGAAGTGTAAGCTTGTCTAGGCTAGAGAGTGAGTTCGAGGTCAGCCAAGACAGCTTGGATTCTATCACAAAGTGAGGGGCCAGGGATGGGGACATAGCTGAGCAACAAAGCTCTCAGGCAATTGCAGATGTGACCAAGCCAAGTGCCCTCTGTCCTGTCTGTCTCTATGTAGAGAAGCAGATGTAGTTTGCTGCTCTGGCATTTTTCTGTTGTGTGTAGCACCGAGCACAAGAATGTGGAAACTTCACACTCCCATAGAGCTGCTGATCAGGATAGAACAAAACCGGCTCTCTGGAAAAACAACAAACAAAACCATCCATGGAAGCCGTGGTAAAACATGACAGCCTCTCTAGACCCAAACAGCAGCATTGCAAACAGCAATAGCTCAAAGCCCGTCCTGGCCCAGCCTGATGCTTTAAACTTATTTAGCACACATCAGTTGTAAAAAGGCTTTCAGGCAAACAGTATTTGATGCTGTTTTATCACTTAACAGTATTATCACTTCTGCTCACTGGTCCCTCTGCACAGACTCCCAAAAGACTACTTTCTCTGCTCCATGTTATCATGTATTAGACAAGGTCTTAATGGGGGGGGGGGGCTCTTGTGAAGCCTTCTTATATTTTTCGAAGTCCTGTGGCCCTTGCTGCCCCCACAGCCTGAATTCTTAACTCTACATTGGAAGCTCCATTTTTTTTTAACTTTAAGGGAGGGGTAGTGTTCTGTGTGACACGTGTATGGATGGGACTTTGGGAAACACTGTGTTGGGCTCCACGCTTGTCTGCCCAGTTGCTGTCACAGAATAGCCTTCAGTTAGCCACACTTGTCTGGAGTGGCAGGCACCAAGAGATGGCCTTGGAAAGGGTCAGTCTCTCCTGGGATGACCTTTCCAGTGTCAATTTACTTGATGTATTAGGAGAAGTGTGTGTGTGTGTCTGTCTGTCTGTCTGTCTGTCTATCTTTCTGTCTCTCTGTCTGTCAAAGGGTTGTTGGAGGGACAGAAGTCATAACTCAATGATACAAAACACCCTGCGAAGAAGTAAATAGATTGGCTAGAGAGAGTTCTGACACCCCCACTCCAAGTCCCTTTGCTTTTGACTCCACTTGTAAGTGGCATTCCTATCAGCTACCTAAGGCTGTCTACTGGCCTGTCTCAAAAATCCAGAGTATTTGGAAAAATCTAAAGCCGCCTTTCATACGTAATCTCATCTCGTTTATTATTTACCGAGCTTCAGTCTCTATCTGCAAAAGCTGTTTCCCTTCAAACTACATCTGAAAACTCCTGTCAGCTCTCTAGCAACGTGAGCTCTTGTGTAATACTTAATAATGCCTCTTCCTGAAGTTCTTCTTTAACACTTCCTGAGTTTATCCCTGAGATGCTTCTCCCAGTAAGCTATGGCTCACACTTTAACTGTTTGTTTGCCATTTTCCCAATAGACGGTTAAAATGAATGTGGGCCTGTATCTTTTTCACCTAGCACAGTGATGGGAGTGTTACAGAGGCTCGGCAAACATTGTTTGCTAGATAGACGACCTAAGTTGACATTGATTGACAGCATCTCATAGTCAGGACTATATCGAGAAAGAATACTGATAAGATCAGTCCAGTAGGGATAGGTGACCAAGTGTCCTGGCTGTTTGCCTGAGCCTAAGAGGTTTACCAAGATACAGTACTTTTCTAAAGCAGTCCAGGGCAATCTGAGATCTTTGATCACCCCAGGAGAGGAGCATATGGGAGAAAAATAGCAAGAGGGGGAAGATAGAATAGTCCACAGGGCAAATGCGCTTCTTTATGGATCAGTCCTACACCGGAGGGGTATGGGCAATGCTTCCTCCATCTGCTGCTTTGGAGTTACGTCTGATCCTTTGGGGAACAGAGGTGGAAGATGGGGTGGGAGGGACTAAGCAGACAGAATGCAAATGCGGGTGAACAGAGAGTAAATAGAGCAACAAGAAAGAGCCAGCCAGCCAGCGCCGGCCTCTTCTGATCATCTCAACGACACCATCACATCTACATGGAAGCAAGAAGCCTAGCTTTCAGCCCTTGCTCCGGCTCTCTCTATAAATAGGTAGTTGCCTTTAGACAAATTCCTAAACCTTTCTGGGGTCTCAAAGAATGACATGGTTCTTACAGTCCACGTTATAATGTGTCCTAATGACTGGACAGAATTGATAGGCTGCAGCCGGTTGGGCCCTACCCTCAAGAGCTCCTTATCTGCAGAGACCGAAGAGGCTTAGAATTTGGGCTTTTTGTAGTACCAAGTGAAGTCTATCTTTCTGTCCAGGCACCTACAAGTCTGACAAACGGCCTTCATGCCAAGAGTCTCTAGTTGCAATTCCAACTTGACTGACAAGCTGCTATTCTCACGTAAGTTCCTTAATTTCTCCAAGTCTCGGCTCTCAAGTGACAAACAGTAAGACGAAACGAGACACCGTGAGGAAAAGTCCTTGGCACCCGTGCCTTAGACCCAGCCGCTACTCTAGAGAGGAGAACGGCGCCGCTGCATGTCCAGGGTGCCTAGAGCTGATATAGTACACATTTGGGTCAGGCTAGATGGACAGAAAAAAAGGCTATCCCTCAGAAGGCACTACTCAGAATATTCTGAAACCTTCACAAAGCTAGTAAGTAGCCTGATGCCACAAGCGCCATCCAGACCCCAGCTCCTCCTCATGGAACCTCATCGGCACTGAGACAGGCACCTGCTCCCCTCTCCCCTCAGCCGCTTGGAAGGTTTCCCCGCCGGTAGATCTGGTTTACTCTCTCTCTGCTCAGCACCCTTGTGAGTCCAGGGACAGCTGGCTGGGACAGTGATGTGGGTGAAAAGTGAAGAAAAGTGAAGCAGCCGAGAAAGGAGTCAGAGTTGGTAAAGAAGACAGCCGCTCTAATTGGACCGATAAGCCACTGGCAGGATCAGCCAAACCTTTGGCAGTGTGAGGTGGGGCTCAGCAACAGCTGACAGCAGGCTTTGCCCTTTGGTTCTTTCTGCTGTCATAACAATATGACATTAAAATGCCTTTGTCCTGTTATTGTTGTAGGCACCTCTACGTCTTGGCTTCTTACGGACAGTTGTATTCTTATTTTGAAGGAAATTCTTCAGTAAATATAATACAATGTCTTTCTATGACATCAGGCTGTTGACTCTTATTTCCATTCCAAATCAAAAACAAATAAGGAAACCAGACAAAGCAAGTCCAACTCTGATGTGCTGATCTCGGAAGAACTGACTAGCTCAAATCTCGACTGGTCATGGGTGTTCCCTCCTCATCTCCTCCTCTTGTCCCTCACTACTGCACCCATAGTGGCCTTGGAAGATCCTGCCTTGGTCCCAGTGGCCCTTCCTGTGATGACTGGCTGACACAGGCAAAGCTCACACATATCTAGCTGTAAATGTGGTACGGGGAAGCTATCATTTCCATAACCACAGCTCCCAGATTAGTACTGGAGAAAGCTGGCCACCATGAACCTTTTCAGTTATAAGGGACTTCAGTGGAGCACACTAGCTTTTGAGCAGTTATTCCCAGCCTGTTTTCTTCCATGAACTCAAGGTTTCTTTCAGCATTCTACTGCTGTAATGCCTTTCCCAGAGTATGGTCTTCTGGACTTCCTTTCAGTGAAGACTCATTGGGATATTCAAAATGACTCTTCTCTGGGCTTCCTAAACCTGAGTTCTCTAACACAAGTGTTTTTTCTAGTCTCAGAATCCCCATCAGGAAGCAGGAAGATTCTCAAGAGATGGGTCTGCACATGCATTCTAAACAGGAAATCCCTAGTGGGTTTCATTTAGAATTTTACACAAAAGTGTGCATTTTCTTTGGAGAAAACTCTAGAACATCTTAAAACCCCCAAAGAGAAGTTCTTGGTTCACAAGAGAAATGAAAACTTGAGCTCCCTGGATGGATAGATGGAAAGAGAACCCTGAAGAAACGTTTGTCTGCTCAAACTCTAACAACTTAACTACAGAACAGGATAAAGAACAGGGCTCTTGACACTTGCTCACACATTTTTTTCTCACAGTCTTGAATTTTGGGGCATTGGAAACATAAAACTAATTTTAACTGCTGCCATGATTTCTGTCAATGAATCAGGAAATAAATGTATTTCTCTGAAGAAAAAAATTGTATCAGAAACATGCTAAGCAACATTAGTGCCTTAGAGTATTTGATGATTCCTTCAAACCCATTCTTTGGTTGTGAAGCACCTTTTCTCTCCAGGTTCCCAGTTTTTTTTTTAAATTATAAACAAAATATAACAAAACAAAAAACAAAACAACCCCCCCCAAAAAAAACCAAAAAACAAAACGAAACAAAAAAAATCCTCACCAGGAGTTTTTTATGTACAAAATTTGGTGAGACCATTTTGGCCTGTAAAATATTTCAGTAATGGATACAATTGGGCTATAAGAAAGCTAAAGCAATGAAGACCGAGAAGCTACAAAAAACAGGGCTGTCTGGCTTTGGAGTGGGGGTGGGGATAAGGATAACTGGCACAGATGGGTATGGTCCTCAGAGCCTACCTTTCCACATTCCCCAAGCCGTTCCTTCTCCAAAAGTTTTTGGGACTCCTTTTCCCAATATGCCATCAGCGCCTCTCGGCTGAAGTTTCCTGTTGGGGTTTTCTCTGTCAGACTCTTTTGCCTTAACCCCACAGGAAGGTTTCGGTCAGGTTCAATGTCTTCCAGCTCCCTCTCAAGCTCCTTGAGCTCTTCAGCTGAGAGGGAGGCCAGAAGTTCATCTTCATCGATGGATTCATATTTACTAAGTCCCCTTCTGTAGCCAAATGTAGACATGGTCCCGGCCTTGTCAGACTCCCCAAGAGCTTAAAGAACCAGGCATTCAAGGCAAGCAGAGGCAGACAGGGAGGCAAGCGTCAGGCTGGTCGGCAGCTGGTGTGAGGAGTGGCCTGGGGAACCTTTTAAGAGCGGTGATGCAGGGCCGTGACAATGTGGAGAGGGTGAAAGCATGGGCTGTTTTAAGCATCAGACGTCAGCTAGACATTTGAACACAAAGAATGTCACATCAGTGGTGGATGGAGGTCTCAGAACCAGCAGGGATTATTCACACAGTGGCCTGAGCCATATTTAGCTGAGCCTGATAGCTGGTGAGGACAGGCGGAGTGTTTCAGATAGGAGATGCCATGGTTCTCCTTTCTCTGTGTTCAAACAACGGAGGATAAACTTTGTTTCGAGAATGTCTTACCACCGACACTGAGGCCATGGAAGGAACCTTTCATTATGAACTTAGGGGTTGAGAAACAACCCCACATTGTCCTATGGGTAGTTAGTCTGGTTCTTCTATAAACATACCCTGGGTGGTGTGATGGGGACAGAAGCTATGATAAAACAGGATTTTATTATTTGTTGTGCTCTGCAGTATCTGTCCTATGTTTCCCTAGCTGTCTATACTTTAGACCCTCATTTACAGATTTTGGTAATGGCCATTGGGAGACTAAGGGAAGAAAGCCGACAGCTGGAAGAGAAGGAGTCTCTGGAATATATATATATATATATATATATTCCAGAAATATATATATATATTCCAGAAATATATATATATATATTCCAGAAATATATAATATATATATATACATATATATATATTTCATTTTTATGAAGGTATTATAATATTTATAGAGTTTGTAGAATTTCATACTAATTTTAGACTACAGATGTATATAAGACTGTAGTAATATACGTGCATCAGAATATACATATACCAACACGTGGACAAGATATAATATGTATGCATTCAGCTGCTGGTGATATTTGGGTTATTTCTAGGGTTGGGCTATGACTAAAATTGCTGCATACACTTACCTGAGTCTTCAAATGCTCACAGGGGCTTTACTGCTCTGTAGTAGAAGCATTAGGTTATAGGACAAACTCACTTTTAATGAAGTTGTAAAACCATTTTCTAAAATGGCTTACCCATGCAATTCCCACAGCAGATGAAGAGTGTTCCCGTTTCCTTACATTACCCATTAGTATTGGTTTTCCTGGTCACAACCATGTCCGGTGAGAACCAATCGGTGGTTTTCAGTTCCTATTACTAATGGAATATAGTTTCGTGTGTTTATGGCCCTTGGTAAAATATTCAAGTTTTGTGCTTATTTGTAAATTGAGTTGTCTTTTTACCCAGTTGTGAGTAGTTTATCTATTCAAGAAACAAATACTTTGAGGAGACAAATGGTTTTTGGTATGTCTTTTAGTGTTTTTAGAAGAGTGATACTTTTTTTTTTTATTTTGATGAGGTTCACTTTATCATTTTTTATTCTATTTATTGACTGTGTAGGTTTATAGTATTTTTTTTTTAAAAGGGATTTCCTAATCCCAGGCTACAGAGATTTACTCCTGTGTTTTGCTCAAATGTCTTTTTCAGATTTTGCTTGTTAGGTTTAGGCATATGGTTCATTTTGATTACATTTTTATATATGTAGAAAGTAAGATTTGCATTTTTAATATATAGATATCTACTCTTCTTAATATTATTTGTCAAGAAGACACTCTTGGCTGGTAAATTGTTTGGCACGTCTATGGAAAAATAACTGAATATTGATGTAAGGACCACTGATGTGAGGACCGGCTTCTGGGCAGTTCTGGTCTGCTGATGTGTCATCTCTCTGCCAACTCTATACTCTCACTTTCTGAAGCTTCGTAGTGCAGTTAAGTTAGGGAGTCTGAGTTCTCTCAATTCATTCTTTGGCATGAATCGTTCGGCTAAATATGTTTTATTTTAACTCATAGTATTCTGCCTTCAGAATCAAACAACACTATCCAGAAATGACTTCCAGCGAGTGAATATTGAATCTATAAATTCTTAATTAATCTCTAAAAATTACTTTTGTGTTTGGAAGATACAGAATAGTTCATACTTTTGAGATTCATTATAATTGGGGTTTACTAACATGGTGAGTGATGAGTAAGTCAAGTTTATTAACATCGTTGGATTTTGTTTTTGACCTTGAACCAGTAGTATCTGCTTTTGTGTGTCGGGAAAATTTAAAAAGGCCGCTGTGGCAGATCCCACATTAGGGAGGGAGATCTTATGGTTCCAGCGGCCTGAGGGCCTTGGCGGCGGCAGGCCCCAATAACACAAGGAAGTCCTTGGTTCCAAAAAGATTTATTGTCATGATGGATAATAGATGGATCTAGGTGTACCCCCCCAAAACTCAGGGCTGTCCCGAGTTATATAGGGAGGGAGAAAGGGGGAGGATTAGGGGAGGATCTGGGGAGGAATGTTTAATTTGCTCTGCCCTCTGGCCTTCATTAGTATGTAAATCTCTAGGGCCTGAGGCCTATAGCCTGACCTATGTGACTCTATGGAAATGTGACTGTTTTCAGGATCCTAGATGATGGGAGGGACTGAACTCCTGCCGGTTCTCATGCAGAATTCCACGGAGAATGTCGGGGTTCTAAGTACCTGCTCAACCATGACCCAGGATACCATTATGCAGTCCCACATTTGTGAAACACATGGTGATTTTTTTTTTAATTAAAAGATAAATTTGAGTTTCAGTAGTGCCACTGAGTTATGATAGATATCTAAATCTGGTGAATGAAATGTGTTATTCAGCTTAACAATGACATTTTACATAAAAATAGTCACAAGTATACTAAACAAACCTGCTTTAAAAATATGTATAAGTTGTAGCACAACTTTATTATTAATGACACATTGTGCACATGGCACATTGGTCAGTGAAAATATTTGGGAAGACATAATTAAGTAAAATTAGGAGAACTGTTCTTGACTCTTTTCCTTGTAAGTTTTTGATATATTTTAGCCCATTTTTGTTTTTGAAATTTATTTAACACACACCACATGATAGATTTCAATTGAGTTACATGGGTTAGAGCAATGAACAAAACCAACCAAGTTATTTTTCTTCATGGAGAACTACATAAACATATAAACACAGAACATATCAGACAGGAGGTCTACAGAGGTCAGACAGGGTAGAGGGAAGCATGAAGATTTGGGAAGGGTAATATTTTATTTCAAAAGGCTTCTGTAATAAGATGGCATTTTTACACAGATCTGGAGACGTGCTCTATGCATGCATATTATAACATACATGATACATGGCCATGAAATAACTGCACAGATAATTTTAGAATAATAGACTTGGATTTCAAAGGGCCTTTTAAAAATATTTTATGTGCATTGATGTAAGGGTGTCGGATCCCTTGGAACTGGAGTTACAGACAGTTGGGAGCTGCCAGGTGGTTGTTGAAAACTGAACCTGGTTCCTTTGGAAGAACAACCAGTGTTCTTAGCCACTAATCTATCTCTCCAGCCCCAACAAAGGGTCTTTGAAATACTCAGGACTCTGCAATTTCTATCCTTGCTGTATTTGAGCATCATTAATAAAAGTATCCCATGACAAATAACTCAGATCTATAGAAAACTCCTTTCTATTGTACTGAAAACAATTAGAAAACCATTTCACACAGACACACAGACACACACACACACACACACAGTTTCCTCATTGGAATGACACAGAATAAATAATAAATATAATCTTGCATTAGTTTCTTCTGTCAAGTCTTGAGTGTCTCTTGAATGACACTGAAAAATGTCTCCAAAGAGTCATCATTAAAATGTCTTCTCATGTGGCCCCATCACAGAAAAAGAAAAAGTCTCTTAAGACCAAGATGATACTTGGTCTTAAGAACAAAGGCCATCTGAAACATCCCAGTATCGATACTGTCTGGCAGTCTGGTTGTAACAATCACAACTCACACCCCACCAGACTTCATGGTATCTACTCAGAAGTATTTCCTACAAACTTTAAGTCATTTCTTAAAATTCTGCCATGTGACTAAACACTGCTACCCACCTCAGGCTTTGACTAACATATAATGGATAATGTAAAATTTCTTGGAACTTTTTCTTATGTCATGAAAAAAAAAACCATCCAGTTGTATATGTGTTCTAAGAGTCAGCATTTTATATTCTGGAATTTTTACTTTGTGTCTTTGTTCAAAATATTTAGAAACAATGTAGTATAAGATAGTACAAAGCCTTTTCAAATTTAGTGTGCTTTGTTTTTTTTTTTTAAAAAATAACAATGCCTTGTGGAGAATTTTTTGTTGTTCTTGATTTGCTGATTCACTGAAATATATAATGTCTCATGATAATGCCAATTCCTTGTTAAAGAGAAACTGAGTTTTCTCTGTCTGTTTGGGTTTTTTTTTTTTTCCTCTTTTAGTTTCTCCCTGAAAATAAATGTTCCTGGCTGTTTCTCCACACTGTCACTCACTACTTGTGAGATATGGCTGCCCTGCAAGCTAAGACTGAAGATAGGAAAACAGAAACCGATCCAGTTTCTGCCCTCAAGGAGTAGAGACTCGAGGGTAGACAGCTGGCAACAGTGTGTAGAGTCATCCACCCCGGCGCCAGAGGAGGAGCCAGAGCCCTGCACAGAGGGAGCCGTGAACCATGGCAGAGAAGGCTGGGGGGGGGTGCGGGTGGGGTGTGGGAAGAGGTTCCAGGAAGAGAAAGCAGCCTCCTAAATGTCTAGGAGAGAGAAAACAAAAGGGAACCTTATTTGACAGAGTAGGGGTGTAGGTGGAGACCAGGCAGAAACTTCCCTGATTCAGAGAATTTCTTAGGAAGGTAGTCCCGCCTCCCCAACACATTCTCTACCAGCATTGTGCCCTACTTATGCCAAGAGCTCATGGATGTTGAGTATTTGCTAAGGGGTTCTATATGCACTATGCTTATCTCTACGATTTCTCCACATAGCTGCCCTGTTTCATACTGCCAAGTCCATGTTTAGGTAGGT